TCATCATCATCATCATCATCATCATCATCATCATCATCATCATCATCTCCCCTGGGTGCTTTCAGCTCACTGCATGGCATAAACATCACCAGCCAACAACCATCCTCTGTCCGTCCGCTGGCTCCGTGTTTTTGCTGGCTCGGTGCGACGCGCAGAAACAAGGGAAGCTCTCTCCGCTCCTGGTGAGGAGGGCAACCCTAACGCGGTGAGGAAGTGGCCGGTGGAGGTTTTCGGTATGAACATCATTGAACATCCATGTCGGTGGTCAACCTGAGAATCTGCGAAGCTAGGAAGCAACGTGTTTACCAACTGAAAACGCAGATCAACAAGTAGAAGTTGCAAAAGTATTAAATAGGGCCCCAACATAGCTGGGTTGAAGTGGAATCAGCTTGTAATGACACGAGAGCTCCACGCCACAGGCTACCCATGATTTTAAGCCCCACCATGTGCAAATCATTTTCCCCCAATCTTCAACATCAAATGGTTAGTTTAAGAACCGTAAACCCTTTCAGTTGTTTCAAGGGTTGAATCAGACACAGAGTATATATGTATAGAAGTGGGATTCACTCAGGAAAAACAAATCCTTCAGCATTCACCTGTTTCGCATTCACCCAGGTCGGGTGTGCCATCACTTTTGCAAACTCTGGCTGTAGCCTATCGAATCTTTGGGCGCTTGTTCTGGGGTTTTGTCATGTCCCGAGTGAGCAACTACGCCGGTCAGCAGGGCCCCGAGAAGAATTCCTGGCGCTTTTGCTCGTGCAATTTGCCTCTGAAGATGCCATGCCTCAGACTGCGTTCTCGGACATTCTGTGTAATTAGAGTGATGCAGAGTGACTGACGGACTGGATGTTTTTGGTGTTTCTCATAAAAAGCTGAAGCAAACACTCCCACAGGCTCTGACATACCAGGTGTGGTGGTCTGCGCAACCTATAAGTCTTTTCAGGCCGGCAACACACATGTTGAGTTCCGAATCTCCGAGAAACACACATTGTTCCAAGACGATTGGGACTGTAAAGATGCTTTGGTTCATGCTTTCTTCGGGATGTCGGTGTCACGAATCTATTGCTTTCTCCCAAGGCTCATCAACTGGTACCACGAGGCAGTGGAATCTGGAAGGCACAAATCTACTGATATCTAACCAAGTATACGGCCAGCTCTATGCTTCATCATGTGTATGTTTCTGAGAAAACACACATCAAATCCAGGCGGTTTCACAACTGCGGCAAACACAAACCTGTTTCCAAACAAATCCTGCGGCCATGGGCGTGATTTTGGATCTTCATCACGTCTGGATCGTCTGTTCCGCACTAAAATGTCACCCGCAACCGCCCGTAACCTGTGTTACCGGGGGGTCCCGTTCCGCCGTTCCAAAACACGCATCCAAAGAGCCGAGAGGGCGCTTTTGATGAAGCTTCTTTGGGCAAATCTTGTTCAATCATATGTGCTGCCCTGCCGTTGTTCGAGACGCACGTATTTTTATGGCGACTGTGTTGGTCATTCCAAAGACCCAGGGCCCAGTGGATGATGATCGCGACTAGGTTGCAGGCCAACATCCCAAAAAGAGTGATAATCCTTTAGCAACTGTTACTGTTACTTGAGGGGCCACACCCGTCCACACCCTATGTTTAGGTTTCAATATGTTTCAATGTTGAGTCTCCAGATCAGCTCCATATAGCTGGTGGCACAATGTTCCCAGCCTTAGTCGCCAAACAACAAGCGGAACCGAGGACATTCCTGCTCTCTCTGGAACCTGCCATGAAAAACATCGATTCCCTCTGTCTGACGCCGCCCCACAAACTCACAGCAACCCCAAGTATCAGCTGATTTGGAAGGTGTTCTTCTTCCAGTTGCTTCTTCACGGCAAATCTGGGGCAAAGGGTTCAGATTCAGCCCATGTTCCAGCGGCTGAAGGTTTACATCGCCAGACCGTGGACCCATGGGCTCCCAACTGTACAAGCAGCAAGTGCTTCTCAACTCTCATAGGTGTCCCTCAGGTGTCCCTGTCGGACACGCACCAAATCAAGTAGTGCAACAAAAAACAGAGTGTATACACTCCCTGAGATCGGAATCGGGTGAATCTCAATGGCATTTGCCCCAGACTGACTGGGATGACCATGAGTTTTCCAAATATCAAGTAGGTGAGTGTTTGTTATTCTTTGATTGCTCTTTCAGCCAGAACTGGAACAACAGCAAACAAAATAGAGAACTAGCTTGAGGATCTGCTTGGTGTGGGTGCACCCGGTGTTCCAAAGGCCTTCTCAGGATCTAGCAGTCCAGGACCCCGGATTTGGGGTTTCAAGATGTTTCCAAAAACTCCCCAGCCGAACCTCGGCCTCTTCGACAGACTCCCGGAGGGCCCCACCGATGTCGATTCGACTGAGCCGCTAATCTCATTGGCCTTGCTCCAATACCATTGGCGCGGACGCCTTTGCACCAGCTCCCGGTGTACAAGGAACCTGCGCGCAGAGCTGTGAGGCCCCAACACCCGCCCAAGAAGTTCATCAAGTGGGACAAGGCCCTCCAGAAAACAGGATACAGCTGGATATGGAAATCAACCACTTGGACGGTGACATCGTATATTCCTTCAAAAAAGCATGTGTGCAAGACTGGAGTCCATCTCTTTCTTGAGCCCTGTCTATCGACGCTCCGCCGGAGAGGGCCATTTGCCTACCAAGTCTCTACGTCAAAACCATACCCAGACACGACCTGTCTGGGATGTACACTGGGCTAGGCTATAATCTGATATTCTAGGAAATTTGGGTCTTCTATCTGATCCTGCTGATTCAACATGATGTTTCAATACTTCTGTCTATTCTACCTTAGCTACTACTTGAGAACTTGACAATACTTGAAACGCTTTCAACTAGTCAGTCGATTGGTATCATTCTAATGAATTTATAGTGACATTCATTCATCATATATTCATCTACAAATGCTGGATGACTCGTTCCTTCCAAGATCGTTCAAGGATGTTTGAAGTGCAAACAGTTGTGTCTACAACATGCACCATTGCTGCCAGCCGGCTGTGAGCAGCAATAGAAACCGAAGTTGGTGTTCTCCTGCATGCGAATTCACGTGCTGAACAAATCTCTGGAGCTCCGCTCGTCTACCCAACATGAGCGTCATCCAGCAACGTCAAGCAGGTCGTTCACACACAAATGTGTTATGTTTTTTTTTTCTCAAGTGCACATGACCCAACCTCTGGATGGTGACCAGCGGGGATTCAAACACTCATCCAGTCTCTGAAGGGACTTTTCGCTTGCCCTCTCAAAAACCGCTGGGACCCCGCTGTGCGGTCGTGTTCGCACTTTGCGATCCAACTAATTGTGGAGTTCACTCAAACTTGCACCCAACCAACTGCCCCTAGGAAGATCTCTCTCTCTCTCTCTCTCAATATGTTGGGGCTTCGCTTACTTAACCAAAACCTCGCCTCGATTACAGTAATTGGGCAAATCACCTCGCCTCCCTGGTATGTTTTTAAACAATCAAAAAAATAAACATTTCGCTTCCTTCTGAAACCACCCGACCTGGGTGGTGCTGGTATGACTCACTTGGATTCCTTTCTTGTTCTGCCGACTGGAGCGGATGACTCCAGGCGAAGCACAGGCGAAGCGGTGAAGGCGGGGTGAGTAGACTGACCTGAAGCTCTGAAACAAATGACCTGGACATGGCCGACATGGTTGAAGGACCTGGAACAAACACCTGAAACTCTGCGTTTTTCATGGGGTTTGTTGGACATCTTGAAAAACGATTACTTTACTTCGAGTGATCCCCACCATGACATTTCATACGTGGTGGTAGTTATACTTCCAACATGCACAAGCCAAATGATGGCAAGACTCATGGCACTTCTTTACCACACACACAGATCCAGTATGGCTCATCTCGCTTCTCCTGGCAGCGGTTCAGAGATAAACGTGTTACTCACATCTGTTTCAGTGATCAGTGCCCACTGCGATCGCGAACTTGTGGTTGAGGTCCGGTAGTGCCCACTGCAATCAAGAGTTGGCGAGGAGATGGCGAGGAGGAGAAGAACAAGAAGAAGGAGTAGAGCTCAGACAAAATCTAACAACCCTCACCTGGCAGGTGGGGAAAAAGACTGCAGTGACCTGGACCGAACATGGCCGACAGGGTCTGCAGATGATCCATGCATTGCTATGCATTCCTTGCCCTTTGTTAGGTGGCAATTTTGAGAGCCACCAACGGTGACGCAAAAAGTTTTCGCACGTGTTCGCGACCGAGACCGGTCTTTTCTAAAGCGAACATATGCGAACATTTTAGGGTTTTCATGGCAAGTGGGAGAGAGCCCTATCCATTTCGAAGACCGACTTGCTCAGTTGACTATAGCCTTGTAGCTAAGAAACGTTGCTTGTGAATGGGAACGGGTGTGGGAACAGGGGTCGGCGTCCATCGACCTTGGCAAATCAAACTTTTAGAATCGCATCTGATGAGTCTTGTCAGAAAAGAGTGACCCAAGAAGTTTTGAGTGTTCTTGGATGCTTAATTAAGCTCCGCCCAATCTCAGTCAAGTGATCCAGTGACGTTAAGTCTTACTCTCCCTCAGTTCTTTACTAGAGGTGGAGAAGTGAAGGGAATTTCCTACTTTACACAATTCATAAATCGCTGTTCCAGCAAATTGCTCAAAGATTCCACATCCTGATCTCCACATTCATACCTCCCGGTCACATCCCATCCCGATCTCGGATCGTCCTGGGAGTACCAGTCGAAGTCGGGCGCTTTGGGGAAGAACTGCTGCCACAGATCCTGAAAGCCCAAGTCCGCCTGCCGGATGGGCAGTGTCTCTGAGGTCGGTCCCCGTTGGACGGTGTGCGATGGTCGGTGTGTGTGGGAGGGGGTTCTTTCTTTTTGACACGTTTGACATGGGGGGATGACTGGGCCCATGGGGGAAGAAAGAAGAACACAAAGGTTTCTGCACTCGTAGGGAACATAAACATCGCCTTAAGCAAAACTGGGATGACCATTTCCACTACTAGTGACACCTTTTGATGCGAGTTTGCCCCAAGGCAGGATCCCACGATTGAACCGTTGTGGTTGGGGACAAATGACATCCAACTTCTTCAAACATCAGGAGCATGGCCAGTTGGCAGTATCTGTTCCATTCATTGGTCTATGCTCAAAGGATCCTGCGAGCATTCAACGTAAATCCACATCTCTCCATGCCCTATGGATCCACATACTGAACCCTGAGGTTCGCTGATGTGTTCGACACTGCCACTGCTATGGGGCGGCGCCAGTTGGGTCCAGGAAAGTACCGAACCTGAGGTGCGGTATGTGGATTAAGAGGGGCCTTGAACGGCAAACGCAGTGCAGTTGGGCCTCAGTGCAATTGGTCGAAGCAAAACGGGCTCGAGAAGGTCGTAGCCTGAAAACGAGCTGGGCGATTTGGTCAAGCACACGGCACACGTCCAGGTGCAGTTTGCAGGAGAAGGCCAAGCGAAGCATACAAAGAAACCACCCAAACCTGTCTCAAAATACATATTATATCATATTATGATTATGTCAGCATATGTCAGCATCGAGTCCAAACACTTTCAGTTTGTTTGCAACTTGATTTCCAATGGGAAACTATAGTCAACACTTGATTTCTCTCCTGGAAATTCCTGGCAAAGTCTCGGGCTCCAAGCAGGTAGTGGTGCGAGAGGGAGAGATACCTCACGCTGGAACCCAGCGCATGGCGCCGCATGGGAGAGATGTCCCACGAGTGGAGGCGATTGAAACACTGTCAAAATTTGATGAGAACGTGTTTTATTTATACTAAGTACATGTAAAATTGTGCTAATTGTGCATGTAAACGGGATTCTGAACTGAACCTTTTGATTCCTTTTGTCATGACATTCCCGCAAACCCGAAGCTTTGTCATGCCATTCTTTCGTGAGGGGTCATCGATCGACTGTAGAAGTCAGCAGAGAAACATAGAGAAACCGATGGTCTTCCCCTTGATGATTTCATGGTGAGTGTAGAGCCATGTTGAGCCATGTTGACACTGTTTTTGGTGAACTGCAAGTCAGTCCTCTTTGTGTATCGTCAAAACGCTCAGATCGAATCTTCCACAGCCTCCCAGCCCGGATTCTGGGAGCCCAAAAAGGGCTGCCCACGTCAAGTCATTACGACGATGAGCACACATCGACCCAGAATCTATACCAATCTAGATACAATGACCATATATACCAATACAGAGCGAGTACGATCCCGGTCCGACCGAAACAAAGTTCCTGCAACTTCGGCATTGTTTGAAACTAGCTTTTTGCACCTTCCGAGTGTTCCACTTCCCTCCGCGCCACGCAATTCCTGGATCGAATGCCTTAAGCAAGAATATCCACATACGTAGGGCATATTATCAACTATAGATTCCAATGTCCAGGGCTCACATTGGTAGAAACTACCAAACAGTGGCAAAACTCACATGAGTTGAAGAACACCTCCTTACACCAAAAAGACAACCCACACACTCCGCAAACTCCGCAAACAAACACTGGCCGTTCGCGGAAGCCGTCCTCTGCTGGTCATCACTTCCGCCCGTACGTACGCTGAGGTGCTTGAACCACTCCTGATCTTGACCACTCAGACCAAAGGTCCCCACGCGCAAGGAGAGCAGCACGTTGCGCAAGGTCCGGGGGTTCACCTACTGTACAGGCGTGTCAAGGCGGCTGGATGCCCATGGTAAAGGGCTTGAAGCCTTGGCTTTTGGGCACCGTGTTAAGGCAGTTTTGAAGGGTCCTGTATGAAGTGTTTCCCATCCCTTTTGAAGAGCTTGTCACACGAAACTGAAACGACTGGGGCGCCCGTGATTTTTGGACCTTCTTCACTCCTCGAGTGATTTCGGTGAAAAACTGGTGGTTTCATGATCAACGACTTGCAACAATTCTGCTTTGTCTTAGCATCTCTTCCTCTACCTAGAGCCTTTTTGTGACTTGTGACCTCTACAGAGGATTCCTCTTCTAAAATACCATTCATCTGACAGGTGGAGAAATACGGCCTTGATATGCCTTGATCCTATCTGGCAGGTCATGTCTCGGTCCTGTAGGTCCTTTAGGTCAGATGAACCTGTGGGGAATGGGGACTGGTGGCTCCAGATGGACATTTCGGACAGCTCGAGACGTCGCCAGGTGGCATGTTCGAAGACATCAGGATGTAAGAAGATCGTGAAGTCGGAAAGCTTGTCATAGTTTTCAGCCAAGTGCCTATTCAGGTCTTTTTCTTCGCACGCAACCCCGCACGGGGCCGAGAGTTTCGGCGCCTAACCTTTCAACCTCCAACCACTGAGGCTGAGGTTTGGGGACTAATTCCTTTGAGTCTTCGTCTGGGTGCGGTTCTTAGGGGAAAAAACCTCAGGGGATTGATGTCTGGCTGAGTTGGGGGTGAACCTGGTTTCAGGGCGATGACATGACCGGACCGTCTGGTTGGAGCGACAGGGACACCTGGCCAGGTACTGGAAGTGGGCTGGGCCTCATGGGACTCGTTTGGGACTCTCGGGTGCAGACTGACGACTCTGACCTGTTGGCGATCACCAAGTCCAAGTGGGGCTGTTCTATGCCCCATGGGACTGCTCCATGGGACTGCCATATGCCGAGAAACTCGGCCAGGGTGGTGCCAGAGGGGTCTGGCCTGGGGCGGCAGCCCTATGGCAGTCCCATGAGCCGCGTGTTGCTCTTCTTCCACCCTTTGAAAGAATTCTTACACCCCACCAGTCGAGAAGACTTCAAGCTGGACGTCGTGTTTTTTTCAGACCGATCCTCCACGCAAGTAGCCCAGGTACAGGAAGTATCTGGCCGCTTCCCAAGCACTTGGGCTAGCATTCACTGGCACCACCTGGCTGCGCCACGACAAGATTGCTGACCGGGTGCCGGTGCACCACGAAAAGCGCCACGGGCGCAGGGCGAAGCGTTCCTTGAAACCGGTTCCGCCAGGGGAGCCTCCGGTGGTTCAGCCTTTTGTACCACAACACTTCGGGCTTCCCCAGTCAACCTGGAAGGTGAACTTCCCTCTTCGTTGAAAACCTCGGGCGACCCGGGGTGGCCCAATAAGCGCACCTCCTGAGCTCCGACCTGAGGTGGGGAGGAGCCCAAACCCATCTGGAATGAACGGAACGGAACGTAGGGGAGTGAATTGGGAAGGGAATGGAAGGGGAAGGGGAAGTGCAGGAAGGAAGGAATGACATGGTGGCAATTCTCCGTTTTGTGCATTTTGAGGGCGGAGTTCAGAATCCAGAATCTATACCCGCATATACAGAGTGACCGAGATGATGAAAGGGACGCTCTATGTCATGAAGATGATGGACCAACTCTATATACCATTCCTTCTTCTACAGAAGCTAGGGCATGAGTTTCAATGTGCGGCTTGAACCCCAGTCAAATCCCGAGGATTTGGCATTCCCAGTCAATATCGCAGTGCATTCCCGGGGGTGGATTGGAGCCACCAGTTAGATGAATTAGGCAAGTCTGGGA